ACCCAGGGCCTTGTGCTTGCTAGGCAAGTGCTCTACCACTGAGCTAAATCCTCAACCCCTTTATTTATTATTTTTATTTTATGTGTATGAGCGCATTGCCAGTATATATGTGAGTGCAGCCATGTTGTGCAATGCCGTGGAGGTCAGAAGGTGTCGGATTCCCCTGGAACTAGAGTTAAAGATGGTTCGTAGCCGCCATGTGGGTGCTGGGAATCGAACCCGGGTCCTCTGCAAGAGTAGTCAGTGCTCTTAATCGCTGAGCCATCTCTCTAGCCGCCCCCTCTTTTGGGTCTTTTTTGAGACAGGGTCTCCCAGGAGCCCCAGCTGGCCTGGAACTCACTATGTAGACCAGGCTGGCCTTGAACTCACAGAGATCCATCTGCCTCTGCCTCCTGAGTGCTGGGATGAAAGGCATGCGCCACCATTCCTGGCAGCAACCCCCCCTTTTAAAAAATATTTTATTTATTATTTTATGTGTATGAGTGTAGTAGTGCCTGCACATAGGTAAGTGTACCCACGTGGTGCAATGCCCATGGAGGACAAAGAGGCTGTCAGATCCCTTGGAACTAGAGTTACAGACAGTTGCTAGATGCCATGTGGGTGCTGGGAATCGAACTCGGATCTTCTGCAATAGTCAGTGTTCTTAACCACTGAGCCATATCTCTAGCCCTTTCTTCTTTAAAGTCAGACTGTGGCATCAGTTAAAATGATCCTGGTGGGGATAACAACCTGAACCAAAGGCTAGAGAGTAGTGCAGTGGGTCTAGTTGGCAGGAAGGCCTGTCCCAGACCCGCAGACAGTGCTGAGGGTCCCAGGGTCAGAAACTGTTTGCCTGCCTAGTCTCTGCTACACTGGCTGTCAAGAGACTGGTTTGGGCCAATTAAAGGATCCGTGAGGGAAAGAAAGAAAAAAAAAAAACCTAGTAAATCCAATTTAGCCACCCCAGGCTCTCTCTGATAATTGTTATTGCTCCCTCCAAGCGCCTCCAAATGATCCATGTATAAAATAAACTCACTCCCAGAGAGCGGGTATCTCAGAAAGCAGAGTAGGGAGGGGATACTCCTGGCAGCAGCTATCTCTAAAAACCTCTTTGCCTATCTGTGCAACAAGAAAGGTTTAGACAAAAAAGTCACACAATGTCATTGCTACTGTACCTGGCTACTATTGCTGCCTGTTTCTTTACTGCTGGCCTAAGGATAACTAAAGCGAGCAGCCTGGCCAGGTTCCATTACAGTGGCATTTCCTATGCCATACCACCTCTGCCTGTGTTCCTAACACTCTCCAAGCAGGAAGAAGGTCATCCCCAATCACCTCAGGAAGAGGGCTATTTGCTCTGTCCCTGGGGAGGCAGTCCCTTCTTTCCTATTCACCCTAGACCAAAGCAAGCAATAAAGGTGGACAGAAAGGTTGCAGAGGTCCCTGTCCCAGGCACAGGACACTGGGTCGCAGCTGCCATTCCTGACAGCCACTAGGATGCTGAATGTGGAAGGAGAATAGTTGGAGCTATGATGGGAGCCTAAGCCACTGAGACTCCTACCTCATCTAGGAGAGGATGCCTCTCAGCTAAGGGATCAAAAGGAATGAACAGGAAGAGCGCTGGTCCTTTCTTCAGCTCATTGTTCAGCAGCAGGCTCTTGCCACCATGAGGCCGCAGCCATCGGAAGAGTGTCTCCTGGTTTTCAGAGGCCCACTTATAGATGTTCTCAGCTGTGAAGTTCATGACCTCCTTGGGGAATATCTGCCAAGGACAAATGTAGACCGGATAAGGCCAAGGTGAGTAAAGGAAGCACAACTAAAGCGCCAGCACCATCTGCCAGAGGCCAACTCAGCCTGTACTGCACACAGGAGGAATAGGCACCTGGAAGCCATGACAGCAGGCTGTGAAGCCAACATTCAGCCCACCTCTCTGTACAGCTTGTCCTCAAAAGTGGGTGGAAAGCCATCATGGGAGTAGGAGGTAGCTTTCACATCACTGGGTTCACCTTTTGCCACCCAGAAAGACTCACCCATCTACAAATAACTCTTCTTGCCTAAGAATGGCTGTAATGACCTTTATCACCCTGTCCAAGGTGAGTTATGGAGTGCCACTAGGTATTTATAAAAGAACCCAGGCCTATCTATTGTAACAAGAACATGGAGTCCAGAATGTTGGATTTTTTTTTTTTTTTAACCTTAGTCCATCAAACACTTCCCCAGAGGCTGGAGTGGGCCTTCTATGAAGCAGGGACTACACAGGCTTTGCTCACGGGCACCCCAATGACTGCATGAACACCTGGCACAGAGCATGAACAGATAATATAAACCAATATTGGCTTAAACTTGCACAAGGCTCCAGATCACACTTTGCATGTGTGGAGGAAGGAAAGAGACACTTAGCATTTTTGCTTTGTTTTTCTGTAACACAGTATTTCTGAAAAGTCCAAGGGCATAAACAACTAGTTTTAAACAATTTCCAGAGTGGTACTTTGAAAGGTTTCACAGAATGAAGCATCTGGTAACCTCCAGAATAGAGACTTAAACAACTTCATAATGAACAAGCCCATTACTTGTTGAAACACTTCTATTCTAATGACATTTCACTTGAGAAAATGCATTCTGCTGAAACCAGTCAACTGAAACAGCAAATCTAATACATTTTTACAACATCTCATCAGAGTTGTTTTTTCCTCCATTTATTCTTCCTCAGTGCCCTTTACTATAAATACATTTAGGTTAAAACAAAGGATGTATGAAAACGATGGCCAGAAAAGCAGACAAAGTGAAAAGCTAGACAGGAACAAGGGAGTGGGCAGGTGGTAGAGAGGCAACCATAGCAGTGATGCTCTGAGTGGGACAGTGGGCATTTGAAAACACACTCAAACACCATAAACATTTCTATTTGGAAAACATAAAAATACATTTCACTTAGGAATATAAATAGCAAGAAGAAAAGCACAATCTGGGCCATGAGAATTATGCAGAAGTCAGGGTGACTGGCAAGCAAGGGGCACTCCCTGATGAGTGCCGAACACCACTTGGAAAGGCCCAGGACCTACACCCTGAGTCAAGCAGAGCCCTGGCTTAAAAGGGCCAGTACACTGGGCCAAGGACAGCAATCTTCACTGGACCTCAAAGTTAGCAACCCTGTCAACAATGCTAGAAAGACAGACAACACTTCAGAGGGCCAGGGAGATGGCTCAGTATATAAAAGCACTTGGCATCAAGTCTGATGACCTGACTTCCATTCCTACAACCTATATGGTGGAAGGAAAGAGTCCCACAAGTTGTTCTCTGACCTCTGTTGAGCACTTGCACAGACACACACAGACACACACACACACACACACACACACACACGCACACGCACACGCACACACACGTATACATAGAATGCAATTTTTAAAAAAGAAAGCAACTTCTTCTGGAAAGTAACCTGTCAGTGATGTGACTAAGGAAGCAGCAATCATAGAGAAGCACAGGGCTACACAGGACACAGTTGTGCAGCTCAAAGCTCAGAAGTAGCTGAGTGGCAGCAGTCCCACAAAAAAGCAAATGAAATCCAGGAACAAAGACAATGAAGGTGAGAAGCCATCAACTTATCCCCGTGACTTGAGAAGAACATCAAAAATTCCATTGTTAGTGAAGAAGAAAAGCATTCACACTGCTACTCTTCACACAATGAACAAAACACTGCTTGATAGAAGCTAACCTCTGAGAACATGGATGGGCCTAGAGCGAGAAATTCTAACTGCAGTTTCTCCCAAGAAGGAAAACTAACACGGCTGTACCAAAATCTAAGATATAAGCAAAGAATTTCTAGACACTAAATTCAAGAGCCCCTAAGACACAGATTCTTCACCAGGGGCGCGTGTTCCAGGGCAGGTTTATAGGGATTCTCAATGTGCACATAAAATCATGTGCTCTTTCCTAGGTTCATCCATACAGTTCATCCAATTCTCAATTGAGTCTGTGACCTACACAACGTTAAGAACCACTGCACTAATACAAATGCGATTTTAAAATACTTACAAGTGATGTGTTGAAATGTCTATGTAAATACACACTTCCAGAGTGTACTAAGGATACCAGTTTCGCAAGATGTTTATTTGTGATAACCCCAAATCGTACTGTTCCTAGGTAATCTGAAACAGAAAATTTTCCTTTATTAAAGAGAAGGCCTAGGCCTGGAAACAACCACAAACCCAACGATCCAGTCCGGATGCACCAGTCCCATAGAGCAAGGCTATCAGCTAATCTGGCCTGGCCTGGGGAGAAGCTACAGAAGCCAGACTCCTGAAAGTCTGGAGCTAGGCTCCTGGTCACTTGGGCTGAGGAGACTACTATATGACCTGTCTGCCTTACCACCCTGTCCCCTTGTTCATCAGTCTACCTCTGGACCCAGGCACATGCTAGTGTCTCCAGACATGGTCAGCTCCTCCTCATCCCTCACCCTGCTCTCACCCTTACAACCTGGTGCCTAACAGCAAGCACACAGGGAAGGAAAGCTCTGGGGAGAAACTGGGGCTCTCTATCCTATCTTGAAAGCACTTTTAAGTATCTACATGATCTTCATTTATTTAGATTTTCCTTGGTCCAACTTCTTAAGAATGTTAAGTTCTTGTTTACTGCTGATACCCTATCATAGAGCCTGAAGCAATACAAGAACCTAATAATTTTCTTTTTGAGACAGGATCATCCATAGCCCAGACTGGCCCTAAATTTGATATATAGCTGAGAATGACCCTCAACTTCTCATCCTCCTGCCAGTTTTTGTAACACTAGGAATCAAACAGGATTTTGTACATGTTAGACAAGCACTCTATCACTGAGCCAGATCGCCTGCCCCTAAATGTCTATTAAAATGAATGAATCTAGTATATACAAGGAATTCACACAAACTGATATGAAAAAAATGATTACAATGGGCACACCACAGAAAGGAAATGTGCCTGGCTAATCGTTACATGGAAAAATTTTCAATCTTACTCTGAGGAAAACAAACGAAAACAAGTATCATTTTTGACCTTCAAAATGTCCAAAATTTAAGACTTGGGAAATATCAAGTATTGATTACCAATAGAGCAATGAGGGCTCTGATACAACATTGGCAGAAAAAGTAAGAGAGACAGCTACTCAGCAGAGCAGCTTATGGACTGCTTGCAATGAAGAAGGGATACCTCTAGTAATCTCAGGTGTATGCTAGAGGCACACACAGGGCATTTGCCAACAGATGTTGTGCAGATGTGAGGAATGAGGAGGCAGGGCTATTGTACAGCACAGAAAGACCTTCTATTAAAAAAAAAAAAAACAAGAAAAGAGACTCATACTTGGAAAACAGGAATTTTTTTCCCCTATAGGCACAGGTGATTAGAAATGTATGAAGAATCTGAAAGGAGGATACAATGGCACACACGTTTAGCCCCAGCTGCTCTGGAGACTGAGGCATAAGGAATGATTGAGTCCAGGAGTTTTAGAGTAGCCTGGGCAAAATAATGAGATCTGTCACAAACAAAACAAAATGAATCTGAAAGGATAATGTGATAATGGGTATTTTTGTATGTTTTTTCTTTTTCTTTTTGGTCATCTTGACACCAATTAGAGTCACCTGGGAAGAGGGAACTTTAACTAAGGGGTTTCTTCTCCATCAGACTTGCCTATGGCATGTCTGTGGGGCATTTTCTTAATTGCTGGTGGATATAGGAAGGCCCATCTGACTGTGGGTAGTACCATCCCTGGGCAGACTGGCCTTGGCTATATAAAAAAAGTAGCTGAGCGAGTAAAGGGCAGAACAAATCAGTAAGCAGCATTCCCCCATAGTCTCGGCTTCAGTTCCTGCCTCCAGGTTCCTGCCTTGTTCCTGTCTTGACTTCCATTAAAATAGACTATGCCTTGGAAGTGAAAGATGAAATAAACCTTTCTCCCACAAGCTGGATTTGGACAGTGTGTTTTGTTATTTAATTTTTAAAAATTGTATGAGTATTTTACCTGTGTGTATGTAAGTGCACCATGTACATGAAAGAGGACAGAAGTAGACATTAGATTCCCCAGAACTGGAGTTTTTAAAAAAGTTTTAAAAACTTTTTTTTTAGTATATTAGTTTTTTAAATTATTTATTTAATAATCATATAATTAGAAGAAGCATTTCATTACAACAGCATTGACATATTCAATAACAATTTCCAGAGCTAAGATGCATCTCAAAATTGGCTGTAAATTTTTAGGTATATAGTTGAATTAATACAGTTATACAATATTGTACTTTGTCTAAACCCTATTAGATAAAATTAAATACAGTTTTAAACTTAGTTATACATTATTGTACTCAGTATAAACCCTATAAAACCTAAAACTGAATGAGGTTTTAACCTTTAAAAAAGATCTCTATTTCATTTTAGAATCTACTGTTTCATACAGAAAAGCTCATTTTTAATGCAAATAACACTTAGATGTTTGTACATGCGTCTCTAATCTCTATGTATCTGATTATTACTAGTCACAGTCACTTACTTTCTAAGATCCTTGGCACCTGAGCATGAATGTAAAGTCATCAGGTAGATTTCAATGGTAATGTTAATGTTTTTCACATCTACTAAAGGAGCAAATTTTTATGCTTTGAAGAATTATTTTTTCTTTCTTTCTTTTTTTAATTCACTTTCCAGGTAGCACCCTCCCATAGCCTTCCCCCCCCACTCAACTAGAGTCCTTATACTCTGATATCCCTGCTACTGTCTACTGTGTTGTCAGCACCCCCAGCCTTTCCCCACTACTTGTCCTTCTGGTGAATCTCGTCAGCCTATCTCGAGGTCTTCGTTTTAGGAGGGTCAGCTGTTCCTCATCTAGCAGTATTCAGCTGTCAATATTCCTTTGGATAAGACTGGGGTCTGCTGTTCAATTTCCCAGCTCTCTGCTGGGTTACTATCTGGGAATCCCTTTGGCCACCTTGGCCAACAACTCAGTATCGCTTGTCTGGCATTGTTGCTTGTTATGTAGCCTTTACCTATACATACAGACTGTTATGAAGTTATGTTGGCCCATTTAATCTTTGGTTATACTTTCCTTTCGGGTGTTTAAGGCCATACAGTTGGTCCAGATAAACCGATTTATTTTTACTCTTAAGGTCATTTGAGGATCTGTTCCTCAGGGGTCACATGGGCCTGGGAGGAGCCGCTGGCTCCTTTCTTTTACCAGTTCCGCCCATGTGAACATAAGTCAAAGGTCCTGCTCGACCATGGTTGGCTTCGCTTGGAAGCATGGAGGAAGTGATTCCTCTGTGTTGACCCACCTCTTTATAGACTGGACACTGGTTCAAGTCCATCTAGTGGGGTCTCCTCGGCCTCCTTGATCAAGAGGACAGGTGACTCACCACCATTATAGGACATTTTAAAATTTTTTCTTTTTTTATTTATTTAAACAAATATTTTATCTGTGTGTGTGTGTGTGTGTGTGTGTGTACTGCCTGCATGTAGGTAAGTGCACTCGTGTTGTGCAATGCCCACAGAGGTCAGAAGAGGCTATCAGACTGGGACTGTAATTACGGACAGTTGTTAGCTGCCATGTGGGTGTTGGGATTTGAACCCAGGTCTTCTGCAAGAACAACCAGTGTTCTTAACTGCTGATCCATCTCTCCAGCCCCATGGATGGTTTTTAGCCATCATGTGGGTGCTGGGAAATGAATCCCAGTCTTCCACAAGAAAGTCAGTCCCCTTAACTTCTAAGCTACCTCTCCAGCAACCCCCTTTTATTTATATGTATGAACGTTTTGCCTGCATGTACGTATGCATGCATGTGTGCAATGCCCATGGAAGCCAGAAGAGTACATGAAGTCCTCTAGAACTGGAGTTACAGATAGTTGTTAGCTGCCATGTAGGTGCTGGGAACTAAGTCTTTCTGCAAGAGCAGTCAGTACTCTTAACCACTGAGCCATCTTTCTAGCCCCTTGGTCAATGTTTTATAACAGCAATAAAGAAGCAAACTAGGACAGATAATAAAACTGGTTTTGTGTTGGGACACAAAGAGGACTTTATCCTCATATGTGAAGCCTTCATTATTTAAAACCTTTTAAATTTTATTTAGTGTGTATCTGCCAAAGCATGAAATAGAGGTCAAAGGACAACTTGTGGGAGTTGTTTCTCTCTACCATATGAGTTCTGGGGATAGAACTCAGGTTGTCAGCCTTAGTGACAACCTGCTGAGTCATCTTGGCAGCCTACTTTCATTATTTTTCATGGAACATATAATTCTGTAATAATTATAAAATTACAAAGTATTTACTGTTAAAGGAAGATTAGTAAAAAGTTGTATTCTTAGGAGGTAGGAATTGGCTAGGCAGTTAGGGTAAAAAGACCCCAAAGAAAAGTAGCCAGTTTCTTGGCTAAAAGTCAAAATGTCCTTGGGCCTCTTAGCAACATACTCTGTTCCAAAGGCCAAAAATGTTGAAAGTATTTGGGAGCTTGTATCTAATTCTTTAAAGATTTTAGGGATACCTCTTCAGAGGGGGGAAATGTTAGAGTAGCCAAAAGCCCCACAAAAATAAACAAATCAAAGAAGAAAAAAGAGCACATGAAGTTATCAAAAAAAAGTGATGGGGCGATATGGGAGGAGTTGGAGGGGAGGGAGTGGGCATGGATTTGATCAAAACACCTTATATGCATGTATGAAATTCTCAATAAATTATTTAAATAAAAAAAGAATTATATTGATTTTAAAAAATTGTATTGGCCAGGTGTGGTGGTGCACGCCTTTAATCCTAGCACTTGGGAGGCAGAGACAGGTGGATCTTTGTGAGTTGGAGGCCAGCCTAGTTTACATAGTGAGTTCCAGGCCAGCTGGGGCTACAGGGAGACCCTGTTTCAAAAAGACAAAAAAAGAAGTATTGTTTCTTTTTTTTTTTCTTTTGAGACAAGGTTTCCCTGTAGCCCCAGCTGGCCTGGAGCTCACTATATAGACCAGGCTGGCCTCGAACTCACAGAGAGCCGCCTGCCTCTGCCTCCCGAGTGCTGGGATTAAAGGCGTGCACCACCATGCCCTGCCTCATTCTTCTTTTTAACAGATGTTAAATAAAATCAGTTAAACCTCAAATGCTACCAACTTGTATATAAGTAGCTAAAGTATAAAAATACAAAGGGGTTCAACACATAAAAGT